TCTGGAGTTGTTTCTCCACTGATCTGCAGTAGCATATTGGGCACCTACTGACCTGGGGAGTTCATCTTTCAGTGTCCTATCTTTTTGCCTTTTCACACTGCTCATTAGGTTCTCAAGGCACGAATAGTGAAGTGGTTTGCCATTCCCTTCTCCAGTGGACCACATTCTGTCAGGCCTCTCCAGCATGATTTGTCCATATTGGGTGGCCCTACACTGCAGAGGATGAAATCGTTGGATGGCATCACTGACTCAATGGACATGAGTTTATGTAAACTCTGGAGTTGGTGATGGACAGGGAGGCCTGGCGTGCTGCAGTCCATGGGGTCACAAAGAGTTGGACACTACTGAGTGACTGAACTGAACTGACTGAATGGAACTGAAGTTTTGCCTTGGTCTCAGATCTCTGATCTTTAAGTACCTGTACAGTAGTTAAAATTTAACCCAGTAATTTTGACCTACCTGAGCCAGTAAATTTGCTTTCCAGATGTATGTATGTGACATTATGAATTTAAGTGTTTGGTTTTTAAGAGAGTCTAATGTATTAAACTTCAAAGTGTGAAGTAAAGTTTCAGTCTTGAGATTTTAAGAGGACTAAGATAATTTGAAAAATGTTTATGTGTGATCTATTAGACTTACAAGGTTGACTATGAGTTTAAAAATTTTGCTTATTGGGTTGTGTGAGCTGTCAGGCATTTAAAGTGCTTAAAAGGGACTTGCTTGGTGGTTAAGAATCTGCCTGCTAATGCAAGGGACATGGTTTTGATACCTGGTCCAGGAAGATTTCTCATGCCTCGGGGCAACTTGGCTTGTGTGGCACAACTACTGAAGCTTTCACACTCTAGAGCTGTGCTCCACAACAAGAGAAGCCACTGCAGTGAGAAGCCCATGCAACGCAAATAGAGAGTAGCTCCCACTTGCTGAAATTGGAGAAAGCCTGTGAGCAGCAACAAAGACCCAGAACAGCTAAAATTGAATAAAAAATTTTAAAAAGTGCTTTGAAATTTGTATATTAAATGCCATGTAATTTAAAATATTTAAGGAAATAATTGAATTTTTTCCCCAAAGGGTAAATTAGCATAATGCTTAATAGCAGGGGTTCTGGGAGCAGGTTTGTAGGTCAGGGATCATCAAACTATGTCCTATTGTCTGCTTCTGTACTGTCTGTAAGCTAAGAATGGTTTTGACATTTTTAAATGTTTGAGAAAAATCGAAAGAAGACTAATATCTTGTGACATTAAAAAATAATATAAAACTCAAACTTCAGTGTCCATAACAAATTTTATGGGGTTATAGCCATTTGTGGTTCAGTTGCCAAGTCATGTCCAACTCTTTGTGACCCCATGAACTGCAGCATGCCAGGCCTCCCTGTCCCTCACCATCTCCCAGAGTTTGCCCAAGTTCATGTCCATTGAATCAGTCATGTCATCCAACCATCTCATCTTCTGTTGCCCTCTTCTCCTTCTGCCCCCAATCTTTCCCAGCATCAGGGTCTTTTCCAGTGAGTTGGCTGTGTCAGGTGGCCAAAGTATTGGAGCTTCGGCTTCAGCATCATTCCTACCAAAGAATATTCAGGGTTGATTTCCTTTAAGATTGACTGGTTTGGATCTTCTTGCTGTCCAAGGGACTCTCAAGAGCCTTCTCGAAGACCACAGTTCAAAAGCATCAATTCTTCGGTTCTCTGCCTTTGTTATGGTCCAGCTCTCATACCTGTACATGACTACTGGAAAGACTATATGGACCTTTGTCAGCAAAGTGATGTCTTGGCTTTTTAATACACTGTCTGGGTTTGTCATAGCTTTCCTGCCAAGAAACAATAGTCTTTTAATTTCATGGTTGTCACCATCCATAGCCATTCCTTTATGTACTGTCAACGGCTGCTTTAATGCTACAACTGAAGAGTTGAATGGTTGTGACAGAGACATATACCTGCCAAGACAAACATATTTTCTGCTTGGCCATTTACAGATAAACGATGACCCCGGTGTAGGTTCAAACCACAGCTTTGCTATTTACTAGTACAAGCTTGGCATGTCACCTAACTTCTCTGTGCCTCAGTTTCCTCATCTGTAAAACGGGGATGATAATAGTTATTATCATGTGAATTAAATAAATCAGTATTTGAAAAAAGCTTCAGAATAATGCCTTGTGCATAGTAAATACAATGTAAGTGTTTAAAAATTGGAGAAAATTTAGCTGTGTGTTTTTGGCCAAGTCTTATTTGTGAAGTGAGACCACAATTCTTAGTTCATAGGGGTATTATGCAGATTAGAAGTGTTAATGCACATAAAATGTTTTGTGGGATGCCTGGATTTTACTAAGCATTCAGTAAACATCAGTATCATTGTTAACATTCTCTTGCAAGTGGCATACATAGTGAGTTATTGCTAATCAGTTACTAAACGCCTAGCAGAGCTCAAGGTTATGTGTGTGCTATGCTTTGAATGGTAACTGGGATCTGGTTGCCTTGATTTTCTGACATTCTATTGTATCAATGTGCTTTCAGTTAAACATTGCTCTGTCCAGGGATCCTCTCCCTCTCTCTTTTTTTTCTTATTTATTTTTATTGAAGTATGATGGCCTTCCCTGGTGGCTCAGTGGTAAAGAATCCACCTGCTAATGCAGGAGAAATGGGTTTGATCCCTGGGGCGAGAAGATCCCCTGGAGAAAGAAATGGCAACCCACTCCAGTATTCTTGCCTGGGAAATCCTGTGGACAGAGGAACCTGGCCGGCTGCAGTCCATGGGGTCACGAAGAGTCAAGACACGACTTAGTGACTTAACAACAACAGCAACATTGAAATATAGTTGATTTACAATGCTGTTAATTCCTGAGGGATCCTCTTTTTAAAGTATGCACTTTCCAAACGGGCATCCCTTCTTCCTTGGCATGGTTTAGTTTATTTAGGTACAGGAAGGAAATGGCAACCCACTCCAGTGTTCTTGCCTGGAGAATCCCAGGGACGGCGGAGCCTGGTGGGCCGCAGTCTATGGGGTCGCACAGAGTCGGACACGACTGAAGCGACTTAGCAACAGCAGCAGCAGCAGCAGCAGTTGCTTTACAGTGGAAGCCTGAGAACAGAGTACAGGCAAGGGTTGGGATCTCTGGTAAAAACGTAAGGAAAAGGAGAAATTTTGCAGTCTCAGATTTTCCCTGCCATTCTGTTCTCCTGAGGTGTCAGAGCAGCTTCCCTACCATCAGGGACATTTTTACACAGCCTTGCCCTTACGGTCCCGTGGGGCTTCCACCTTTGCAATCTACTGCACAGCCAGGAAGCAAGCCTGGCTCAGGGCGCCACCTGCTGATAACCTTCCCCTCCTGCACCCTCGGCTGGGATTGGTACTCTTTTTTTTTTTTCCCTTTTGGCTCAAATTTGTCCTTGCTCAACTGCCCACAGCCCTGAGCACCTCTTGCCCTTCTTCATGACGTCAGGACACCCTGGGAGTTGAAGGCCGGTGAGATTTCACGGTTTATCTTCCAGTGTCCTTGAGGTTTGACACACAGAGTCAATTTTGTGGCAGTTGGTGGGACCTGAGGCTTATTCTGTGATTAAAAATTGTTTCTTGCATCGATAGTTGTGCTTTCCCAGTCTGGGGCCGTGGGAATAGGGTCACCACGGTGACCTTGACAGGTGGCGACGGTGGAAGGAGGGGAGGGAAGTGACTCACTGTGCACCTTCCCTGTAGGTTACCAGCTTGAAGTCTCAGGATGTGTTGGACCCTATTTTAGTCACCGGAATTTGTCGTCATTTTGTGCTATTTTCCCCAAAACGCAGATGTGGCTGAGGGATTCGGGGGCAGGCCTCTGTCACCATGGAAACTGTGACGCTGTCCTGCTAGGGGCAGTTTGGAAGCAGGGAGGCCTGGAAGGCTGGGGAAAGCCCCAGATTTGACCTCCACTATTCCTGCATTAGGGCCTTTCTCTAAAACCGAGACCCAGAAAGGGAGGGAACATGCCGGGGTCACAGTGCGCTCCTCGGGAAGAGGCAGAACGATCTGAGCCCACGATCCACGTGCTCGGCTTCCCCACAAAGCCCAGGAAGCCCTCCTAGCTCCATTCTTCTTGAGATTTCCATCAAATAAGTCCTAGCGTCCACGATCTTTTCGAACGCTCGCCTAGTTGACGCTCCGAGACTTCCCCTTTAAGGCGCTCTTCCCCTTTAAGACTCATGACTCCGCCCATTACGCTGCGCCGCATACTTAAAGCCCCGCCCCCCTCCAACAGCTTCCGCAGGGCAGCTGCCGTCGCGCGACGGTCACTGCCCCTTTAAGCCCGAGCCCCGCCCCTGGCTCCCCGCCCCCTCCGCTCCCGTCCCCTCCTGCCAGCACCAGGTGCTGGGCCTGATCGTGCGGCTCCGCGCGCGGCGGTGAGCTCTGGGCCCCGAGGGGCGCGAGGACACCTTCCTGGTCTTCCCCCCGCCCTTGCGGTGTCCTCGCGGGGCGCGGGGGCGGGGCTTGAGCTGCTACCGGGGCGGGAGAGATGGGGTGCTAGGAGCGCGGGAGGGGTGGGCCAGGACCGGCCGAACAGGGGGAGGGGCCCAGGTGACTTAGGGGGCGGGAATGGACCCCCCGCGGTGCTCGCCGGGCGACAGGGGTGTGGGGGCCTGGACAGACGGCCCCGCGGCGTGCCCCCTCTTCCTTGCCTGGCTAGTGTCCGCGTATAGCTCAGCTGCGGAATGGTCCCCCTTGGTTCCTTGGGGTCCAGGCCCATCTGTGGGGGGCGGTCGCCGTCCGTCCCGCTGCCTGAGACCGCAGTCGTGGAGGCCGCTGAAGAGGCCCCGGCGGAGCGCGGTAGCCTTTGAGGGGGGCGGCAGAAGGGCACCGGCCTCCCGACTCCTGGCAGAGGTGGGGGCAAGCCGAGAAGTCGCAGTGGCCCGCGGCCAATCACCTGGGACGGACGTCTGCCCGCCTCCCACAGATCCGGGCAGAGTTGTGGGTTGGGGAAGGGTTTGGCTCCTGGACCTCAGTTCCAAACCTCTGCCCATCAGAGAGCCGGCGGTCACCATGGCAATGAGGGAGCTGGTGGAGGCGGAATGTGGGGGTGCCAACCCACTCATGAAGCTGGCCGGGCACTTCACCCAGGACAAGGCCCTTCGACAGGAGGGCTTGAGGCCCGGCCCCTGGCCTCCAGGAGCCCCAGCCTCGGAGTCGGTGAGTGCTCTTGAGGTGGAAACCACAGTGGGGACCTGGGATGGAGGGTCCAGATGCACACTTTGGGATAACTGCTTGCTTTATTGTGTTTCAAATAATAGCAGTTACTGCAGAGCCAGCTTTACCGTATTAGGCATTGAACGACTTTGTATAGAGGAAGGCAACCATTTTATAGATGAAGAAACTGAGGCTCAGAGAAGTTTTGTCACTTGCCCGAGGTCATGTGAATGGAAGACCTGGAATTTTTACCCAGGGCTGAGTTATGGGTCTGTGGTTTTCACTACTGTACCATATCATCTCCCTTTCTTTTGTCTTAGGTCTCTAAGCCTTTGGGGGTAGCCTCTGAAGATGAGGTAAACATACCAGTCTCTTCTGTCTCATTTTTTGTTTGCTCACTGTATTTTTACTTTAAACTTGGCTCACTTGTGTTTCAGTCTGCTGACTTCCCTGATCCAATGAGAGTGGCCTCAGCTCTCTTGTTGGTTTTTGTTTATTCTTTTTTTTAAAAACTTACTTATTTTTTTAATTGAAGGATAATTGCTTTACAGAATTTTGTCACTTTACGTATTCTTTGAGCCTTTCCATATCTATGGGTTCTATGTTTCCCTTTCCTTGTGTTTGACATTTGTGTCCCTCGTGGAATGGGCCCCTGTTTCTTGCTGGGTTCGCTTTACCACCTCTCTTCTGACAGTTGGTGGCTGAGTTCCTCCAGGACCAGAATGCACCTCTCGTATCCCGTGCCCCTCAGACCTTCAAGATGGATGACCTCCTGGCCGAGATGCAGGAGATTGAACAGTCAAACTTCCGCCAGGCACCCCAGAGAGGTGGGTCCAGGGTCTGGTGTTAGGGAGGGGAATCACCGTTTTCTGTGCAGATGGGGACAAGGGGATTTTGTATTTGGAAGCCGCTGATATTGGGGAGCTGAGTTACAGAAGGAGACAAATAGAGTAGAGTTTTTTTTTAAAGAATGTGCCTGCCAATGCAAGAGACGCGGGTTTGATTCCTGCATCTGGAAGATCCCCTGGAGGAGGAAATGGCAACCCACTCCAATATTCTTGCCTGGAGAATCCCATGGACAGAGAATCCTGGCAGGCTACAGTCCATGGGGTTGCAAAGAGTTGGAAACGACTTAGAGACTAAACAGAGCAACAACAGAGTTCCTGAGGCCTGATGGAATGATGTGTATTTTCCTCAGTTCTCTCTCTGTCTCTCTCTGAAGCCCCTGGTGTGGCAGACTTGGCCTTGTCTGAGAACTGGGCCCAGGAGTTTCTCGCAGCTGGAGATGCTGTGGATGTCTCTCAGGAGTATAATGAGACTGACTGGTCCCAAGAGTTCATCTCTGAAGTTACAGGTGAGGATTGTCATGGGAAAATCTAAAATGGTTCCTACGGTGCAGTGTGCTACAGTGTCATCCTCATTCATGTTTTTTTCTTTTTTTTTTAACCCTCATTCATTGTAAGATATAGAGTGATTTCAGCTGCTTATGACCTTTCTGAACTCTTGACTCTTTAATATAGGGCACTGAACCAGGTTTCTCTTAGATGGTAATAGGGAATTGAAACATATTATGCACAGGAGTGGGTTTGAATTGGTTAAGAGACTGTGAGGAGAGAGAGAACAGGAAGAGTTAGGTTTTCTTCTTTGTTACCTGGAACTTTATTATTGTAGTTTGGTGGAGAGGATCCACAGATTGAATGGGTGGCAGTGTTGCCTAGCAAGAAAGAGCTGTTCACGGCATCCCTGGGGATTCTGGCATTAAGTTGCCATGAGCAGGGTTGGAGCCTTGGAAAGTGGAATTGTGGAGTTCAAAGGCCTGAAGTGTACGGTCTTGGTGATGATAATAAAAATTAATAATATTAGCTAATGTTTACTTCGCCATGAGCTAGGCTTTGTTTTAGTGCTTTAAATGCATTGTCCATTTAATCTCCCTGAAAACCCTTGAGGTTGTTACTGTTTTTATTCTTAGTATATAGATAAGAAAACTGAGGCTGAGGGATTAAGTAATTTGCCTAGGGAATCACGGCTTTGTAAGTGGTGGAGTTGGAATTTGACTCTGGGTTTGAATGATTCCAGAGTTGGTGGGCTTACTCATTATGCTGTACTGCCAGGCCTGCATCAGGGTCTCAGCCTCATTTTCTATCTTTGAGTTGTCCGAGGTCATCGCACCCTGTAGGACTGCTTCTTCTCCCCTTAGCCTGTCTGATGACAGGCCTGAGCAAGGTCCTTCTCTTCAGCTTTGCTCTTCCTGATTGCTCTCAAAGTGAGCACTGTTAGGCTATTTCCATTTAAGAAATCAAGAATAACGGGAGAGATTAAGGGAGAAAGCCACAAAGGTTCTGGCCTCTCAGGGTCCTCCTGTCATCATAGTTACTGAATTTTCATGACACGATTAATGACCTAATGGGTACCTCCCGCCCCCAATCATTTTTATTCTCCTCAAGATAGGCCTTCCTCTACACACAGGAGAAAACCCCAAAAATCTAGCAACTAAAATAAAATAAAGCTGCTGGTCTCTTTTATCATGACTCCCTTTCCCTCTTTTAAATTGGAGTTTGAGGAAGAACGGTGGGTGTTCTTGGTTTCTGGGCACTTTATATTCTCAAAGCCAGTTGAGCTTCATAGTGGTACAAGGTAGAAATTCCACCCGCATTTTATAGATATGGAAATTGAGTTTTGAAAGGGTTAATATTTTTGTCTGAAATCATTCAGTAACAGAGATGATATTCAAACTTATGTCTGACTCCAGGCTCCGTACTTAGAACCATTACACTATCATTGAGAATCTTCTTTGGAATTGCCCCAACTGGAAAATCTGAGCTTTAACCACAAAGTTCCCTCCACCAGACTAGTACTCACCTTTTTGTACAAACGTTAGCTCTAAGTGCTGTCTCTTATTACAGAGATACTTCTTTTTTTTTTTCATTTATTTTTATTAGTTGGAGGCTAATTACTTTACAATATTGTAGTGGTTTTTGCCATACATTGACATGAATCAGCCATGGATTTACATGTGTTCAAGATACTTCTGTTATAACTCATGAACATCAGTTATTTTTGATAACTCAGGATGAGTGTTTTGTTATTATTGATGAGATTTCTATTATTACAATTACTCAAGTGCTTGGAGCCATTGAAATCTTCCTTATCCTGTAAATGAAGAGCTACTTTAGAAAAACATGTTGCACCTGTCTTATCTGTTAAAAATTCTTTGGGAGATCTCTCTCTTCCTCCTCTTGTTTCCTGGAGGCAAGGATATGGAAAACTGGAAAGGAAAGTTGAGCTGTGTGGGATCTGTCTTCATATAAATGCCCTGTTGCAGTAATATTGCTTTGTATGTAGTGGTCCTTCAGGATTTATTGAATGGAAGAGTTGAGATCTGGCAGAAAGAATTAGAGGGAACTGACTTCCTAGTACAGTCCTTCGTGGTATCTGCAGAGGTTTGGTTTCAGGACCCCTGTGAATGCTCAAGTCCTTTATATAAAATTGTGTCATATTTGCATAGAATGTAACCTCCCATATGCTTTAAATCTCTGGATTAATTATGATATCTAATACAGTGCCAATGCTTTATAAATAGTCGCCAGCATGGGACAAACTCACATTTTGCTTTTTGGAACTTTTTGGAATTCCCCTGCCCCACCCCCTCTGAACATTTTCCATCTGTAATTGGTTGAAGCCGTGGATGTGGAATCCCTGGACACTAACCACATAGCATTTATGGCTGATATTTTCAGAGTAGTGACATAGCCTGTTTCTTTGTGGATAAGTAGACTTCCAGTTGAGAGAAGGTTATAGTCTTTAAATCTTCACTATTTTCAAGTCCCCATTGTAAGGATTTCAGAATCTAGTTTAAAAGGAAACCATTTTATCTTGTTTTAATGTTGTATTTGGAAATATAGATCCCATGGAAGTTGCAAAAAACATGTACAGAAAGTTTCTGTGTGTCTTTCCCTCTGTTTTCGCCATTGGTCATATTTTACATTTGTTCGTTATGTACAATATCAAAATCAGAAAATTGCCATGATCCATGTATCTTATTAGATTTCACCAGTTTTACGTACTTTTATTTGTGTGTTTATAGTTTCATGTAGTTTTATCATGTGAAGATTTGTGTAACTATCAGTGCAATTGAGATTCAGAATTATTCCATTACAACATGAAGCTCCTTTTTTAGTCTGACATATTTCCTGGTGGAACTCCAGCCCTCCCCACTTATTTGACAATCTTCTGGGCCAAATAACTATCTACTGTGTGATTGCTCAGCTCTAGAGAAGAGAAACGTCTTTAAGGGGTTTTGAGTTTAGACCGCCTCAGGTAACATGGTGTGTGGGGTTTACGTGACAGGAGAGATAAAGCTGCCTTTTCATAGGAAGACCAGTGGCCAGAATTAGCAGATGATGATTGGCGATAGATCTCCCCTTGATGGCAGCAGAAAGGCTGTGGAATAAAAGGAATAACAATCTCATTGTGATGTTTCCACTTTTGTATGGCTTTGCCTTGAGCAGACAGAAATGATGATAGTAGCTAATACTTGTTACTCTGTGCTTTACACTGGCATTATTCCATCTGGTCTTCACAATAATCCTGGTGAGGTAGTTATTATTATCTCTATTTCGCAGATAAGGACTTAGAAACTTAGAGGGTTGACTGATTCGAGGGGAGGGAGACATGGGGCAGGAGATGCACAGTGAGTCAGTGATAGAGTTGGGTAGGCTGACCCTAGAGCCTGCCTTCTTTCTTTTTTTTTTTAATTTTTTAAATTTGATGAATTAATTTGGCTGTGTCAGGTCTTAGTTGCAGCACACAGGCTTCTCTCTAGTCCTATCGAGAGGGCTGTAGAGTGTGGGGTCTGTAGTTGTAGCATGTGGGCTTAGTTGCTGCACAGCGTGTGGGATCTTCATTTCCTGAATCAGGGATCAAACCTGTGTCTTCTGTGTTGGAAGGCAGATTCTTAATGGACCACCAGGGAAGGCCCTAGAACCTGCCTCTGGCCCACTGTGTTATTTAGCAAATGTGGAAACTTCCATAGGTAGAGGTAGGAAATTCTGAGTTTTTGACTGTTGAGTTGGCGTTCATGTTTCTAGATGAAATGAACACACACCGAGAATCGAAGTGAGGTGGAGGCTCTGAGTCAGATGTCTGGTATCTAGGTTAGGTTGCTGGGTATACTGTAGGATCTCCTGACTTTGGGTAGTCTGTCCCACTCAGCAGGCCTTAGTTCGTTCAATCTCACAGGCAAGCAGATGGATCTGGTTTTCTATAAGATTTGCTCAAAAAGCATTGAAGGCCAGGTAGTATTCTTTTGATTATTTTATTTTACATCCTTTGTTGGAGTAGATTCCCAATGCCAGAAAATCCTGAATCTCATGGCCAGTATGGTTAAATACCAAATTATGGCTCTTTGATGATGATGCATCTCTGGGATTTTTTTTTCTTTCTCCTAAACTTCCTCTTGTCCATTGTAGAGTCTGGGTCATTTCGTATTTTTTCTGTCGCTTCTTGTCCTGTAAAGGAGGATTGCACAGAACTGGTGTTCTCTGTAATTTGAGGGGTATTTATGGCCAGAATATGCTTTTGCAAAACACTTCAGCTGAGAGGAAGGCGTGACTGGAGGGTGAGGAGAAAGGACTGGTTACTTTTCAACAGAACAGGATAGGAGTATTACGCATTTCCTTATTAGGTCTCCAGACTTGAGCCAACAGTCTAGCTGGGGCAAAGGAAAGAGAAATGTTGCCTGTAAAAGCCAGTGACGGAAATCAGGATATAAATGTTAGGAGCTCTTGAAATTAAGAGACCAAGTCCATGATCAAAACCGTATCCTTCATTTTATTGCTAATAAGTCACTTATTATTTATGATTAGGTGATATCTGTGAGTCTTGATTTTTTTTTTTCTTTTTCAGATTTTGGCATTGTTTTCTCAGATGTTGAGATTAGCTTGTTGAAATTATTGAGACAGAGTGTCAGTTCAGTGGAACAGAAAGTTCTGTTATAAATCAGTACTGAGGACAGCTTGCCTCCTTGGTGTTAAAAGTGGTGACAGAGCTTCAGAAGACAGGATGAACATGTATAAGGGCAAGAGGGCAGAGCAGAAGGAAAGAAGACCACAAGCCCATCGTTCACTTCGTGTACTAATTCTAATTTAGGGCCCCTTTAAGTCCTGTAATCTGTCTCTCTCTCTCTTTTTCTTTCTTTCTTCAGACTAGTGAAGAGCAAAGTCCTGCAGGTTGAGAAAAGTCCAGCAGCCTCGTTTGTTATGTTTATTCTGAGATTGCCTTGGTGCAACCTTTGTCACGAGAGCTTCTAAGACAGTTTCTGGAATTACACTGAAAAATGTAGCTCTCAAAACCAGTCAGAAGTGACAGAAGTCAGAATAGTGTTTATCCCGGGGTAGGTAGTGGTGGGGGCCTGCGGGAACCTGCGAGGGAACTGGAGACTGGTCCCTGCCGTGATCTGGAGTGTGTTCATAGGTAGAAATTAATGAAGCAGTACACCTAAGTCTGGCCCACTCTACACACTTTCATGTTTGTATGTTACATCTCAAAAAAAAAAGATGCAGTGGGCAGAGTGGACTGATACATCTCTAGGTCTGGCTCAGCAGTCTGTTCCTCAGATTCTCTTGGTGGTACATTATGTTAGGATGAAATATGAGCTGCTTGTGGCCTGGAGGGCATGAACTGTATAGACAGAGGACAGACAGAGGCTTGATTAAGGAGTGTGAGCGCCCATGTCTCCCCTGGTCTCCTGAGGTCCCCGCATCACGTCTGAGGAAGCCGGAGCCCCGGCACCTGCTGTCTTAGTGAGCACTCTTGTATTTCAAACAAAAAGGGTTTGGTCCATACCCCTCTCCTGAGCCGCCTTATTTGGTCTCCTGTCCCCAGCTCAGTACACTTGTCCCCAGGCCCCTGGGGAGTGGGTTGGATATTGAAAACTTCGTAGTGTTTTCTTTTGACCAGGGATGTCTGCGGGATTCTGCCTTGACTTGGTTCATATTCTCCCCTCCCTGCTCCCTCGCTGATTGCCCATCCCTCTGCTCTTTGTAGACCCTTTGTCCGTGTCCCCAGCCCGCTGGGCTGAGGAGTACCTGGAGCAGTCAGAGGAGAAGCTGTGGCTGGGAGAGCCAGAGGGAACGGCTGCTGCTGATCGCTGGTGAGTCCAGCCTCTTCTCTTTGGATGGGCCCCGTGGAATGAGCGTTGGACAGTCCCCTCCCTCAACCAACCCCCTGCCTGCTCCTGTGCCCCCCAAGCTCTTCCATCCACATCCTCAAACCTACTTGCAGCCCTTCATTACCTACTCTAAGGCTTCCACTTGTACTATTACCCCAGTTCATTTATGTCTCAAATGTAATTGAATCACAAACCCTAACTATTGTACCAAGAATTCATAGCTTTATCTGATGCACCTGTTTCCCTTTTATTTGGAGCCTGCTACTGTCTGTTCCTTCTCTCTGTCCCAAAGATGGTTTGGGGAAGAGAGGTAGAAGCGCGTAGCTAGTGCTCTGCCCCTCCTGCCCAGAGGTCCTTCTTTAATGTAAAGCGGAATTCGTGGGTCCTCAACCCACGAGAGTGGAGTGTGGGTCACCCTCTCTGTTCCCCGATGAGAACTCTTTAACTACCGCGGGCGGGGAGTGGGGAATGGCGAGGGCAAGGTAGTGGCAGACCCACGTGTACAGTTAGCGCATCCTCTCCTGTTCCAGGTATGATGAATACCAGCCCGAGGAGGACCTGCAGCACACAGCCAGTGACTTTGTGGCCAAGGTGGATGACCCCAAGCTGGCTAACTCTGAGGTGAGCCGTATCTCACCACTGCTGCTTCATCCGAGAAGTCAGGGGAACCCTTCCCTTACCCCTGTTTAGTTTAAGGAGAAAGAGCTGGGACCCGGGGTCCATTCCTTCCTCTCTGGGGAGCAGAGACTTAGGACCCTGCCTCTTCCCCCAATCTTGCCCCTACTTCCTCGCCTGCTAACCCTCTGTCTTTTCTGTGCCTTCTCCCATCTTTAGAGCCAGAGATCCCCCTGTCTTTGCTCTCTGCTTTTTCCAGGGTCCTTAGCGTATCTTGTCAGCAGTTAGAGGTGGTCCTCAGGGGGAGGGGTCAGTGCAGGCTCCTCTGGGCATGGTCGAGAGGGCACACCGGCAAGGCCTCTCCCAAGTGGCCTGTGTGTATCTCTGTGCCCCAGTTCCTGAAATTCGTGCGGCAGATTGGCGAGGGGCAGGTGTCCCTGGAGTCCGGCGCAGGGTCAGGCCGAGCTCAGGCAGAGCAGTGGGCGGCAGAGTTTATTCAGCAGCAGGTAGGTTCCTGTCACCTCCCAGCCCCACCCCGGAGCTGCTGGTGCCCCCAGCCGTGGGCTCAGGGGTCCCAGAGGGTGAAGGGAACCTATTGCCAGCTTGTTGGGTAGCATCCAGGTCCTGAGTGGGTGGGAAAGAGATTCTGAGAATGTTCTTCTCAGAAGTGCCCAGGTTGTTGCTATATATTGGGCGTTCAGTGGGTAGAAAATTAGTGGTGGTGCTATGACCAGCCTGCTTTGTTACAGGGTACGTCAGAGGCCTGGGTTGACCAGTTCACAAGACCAGTAAACACGTCTGCCCTTGATATGGAGTTTGAACGAGCCAAGTCAGCCATAGAGGTGAGAACAGCTGGCCAAGTGTAACCAGGCCAGGAGGAAATGCTCCTGTGGAGAGAGTGGGTGTCCCAGCATCAGAGATGACGGACGTTGTATTTCATAATGTTCTGTATTATATGACGTGTCAGAATTACTTGGGATGGGGTGTGAGTGTGAGTGATAGTCACTCAGTCGTGTCCGACTCTTTGCGAATACATGGACTATAGCCTGCCACGCTCCTCTGTCCATGGAATTCTCCAGACAGGAATACTGGAGTGGGTTGCCATTTCCTTCGCCATGGGATGGTGGGGGTGCCTGTCAAAAACACCAGTCCTGGGCCTCCCAGACCACTGAGTCAGGACCTGGGAACAGCATCTGGGAAGAGCAGCAAAGGAAAGCTTTTCAGTGATCTGAGACATGTGGGAAAGGAAGAGCTCCTGCCACAGGGAGCCCATTGTAGTGGCACTGAGAGCGGGTTGGGGTGGTCACAATGGACCTTCTTCCCTATCTGCCCTCCTTCCCTTACAGTCTGATGTCGATTTCTGGGACAAGTTGCAGGCAGAGTTGGAGGAGATGGCAAAGCGTGATGCTGAGGCCCACCCCTGGCTCTCTGACCATGACGACCTCACGTCTGCTTCCTATGACAAGGTGAGAAGTAGCTGTTTTCACGTCGCAGGGTTTCCTTCTTTTATTGTCTCTCCTTTAATCCTGAATTTGAAGGGTATCCACATTTAAGTAATCATTTTCTTGAGCCCCCTTCCATGAAAAGGAAGCCTGGATTACTCCCTAGCATGCTAAGTCACTTCAGTGGTGTCCAACTCTTTGCGGTCCCATGGACTGTAGCCTGCCAGGCTCCTCTGTCCATGGGATTCTCCAGGGAAGAATACTGGAGTGGGTAGCTATTCCCTTCTCCAGGGGATCTTCCCGACTCAGGGATCAAACCTGCGTCTTTTAAATCTCTTGTATTGGCAGGTGGGTTCTTTACCATTAGGGTCACTCTGTGTTCTTCTCCAATCATTGAAAGTATTCTTTATTCTTGGGATATAAAAGTTAATAATAACAATCATAAGTGACATAGTACCTGAAATAGAGGTTTGCACATGATGCGTTAAGAGCACAGAAGAGGGAGCTCTGCTTTGGAGGTTGGTTGAAAGCATTTTAAGAATATTGATAACTCCTTTGGTAGAAAATGTTAGGTAGTAGGCCATCTCTGCCCTCCAACTTAGTATCTCTTTACTTATTGTTTTAAAAAATTAATTTATTCTTTTGGCCACGCTGCAGGGCATGTGGGATCTTGTTCCCTGACCAGGTCCGTTGCACTGGAAGGCGGACTCTCAACCTCTGGACTGCCAGGGAAGTCCCCACTTGTAGATTCTTGAACCCTGTTTTGACATCATTGATACCTTGGGTGGGATATTGCAAAATTAGGATTAGAAGCATTTGAATTGATGTTCCACAAAAATATGCTAAACTTTATTATCACATATGAACAATCCAGATTTTATCTGCCTTTTGCTGTTATTGAATTATATGTCAGTAGTAGTGTTTTTGTTTTGTTTTTTTTTTAAGATTTGGCTCTGACTCTGTCAAGTAAATTCATGGGTCTCTGAATGTAAATTTTTTTATTCATGGTCCTTAAATTTGCAAGACTACAGCCATACCTTGAGCAGCTATTGTAAACTGTTAAAATGAAGGAGAAAATTCTGTGATGGGATATACTCTACTTAGTCGTGATCCTGTTTTTGCAGTATGATCCTATGAAAGTTTGAGCAGACCAGACAGTGGATCAGGCCGAATGATTAGACTTTTTAGGCTGTAACAGTGATCCCAAGCGTATCCTGCATCTTGTAGGTTGTTATGGGCTTCCCTGGTGGCTCAGTCAGTAAAGAATCTGCCTGCAACACAGGGGAACCAGGAGTAGGAAAGCTTCCTGGAGAAGGAAATGGCTGCCCACTCCAATATTCTTGCCTGGAGAATCCCATGGACAGAGGAGCCTGGTGGGCTACATGGGGTCACACAGAGTTGGACATGACTTAGTGACTGAGCAACAACAACATCCCAAGTCCATCTCCTGTATGCTGTGTTTCTTAAATCGCCATTGTAATTATTTAAATTTTATCTGTCACAAATAATTTGCATCTGTGATGGCTTACAGTGGTTCAGAACTTTGCTGGCAGGATTTAAGCATTTCTTGTTCTTGAGCTCTTTCACAATGATAGTGAAGAAGGGCCTCCTCCATGTCCTTATCTCATAGTTTTATTCTGATTTGTCCTTAACTGTATTCAGAAAGGGCCTTGCCCTGTGTTTTGCATCTTGCTTTCATTCTGGTGTGTTTTGTGGTGGTGACCCCTGCTCTCCTTAAAGGGAGCGTTTTGTTCCCTTGTCACGGTCACATGCTTCCTAGGAATCCAGTTTACCTAACACCTCTCTGCTGCATGGATGGCCCCAGGACAGAACTCAACACAGTAGCATCCTAACCCCTCAAATGAGAACACCTCTGCTAGAACAGGACGTGATTCTGAAGCCTTTAATGCCCTCAGGATATTGGAATTTAACTTTCATTTACTATCAGATACAGATTAATACTAATAACTTTTAAGAATGAAATTGGAGAATAAATTAAGTTTTTCAAAGTGCTTGAACACATACTATCCTGTCAGTGCGCACAGGACTCTGTGAGCTGGGTGAGAGTTGCATTTGAATAGTAGAGCCTCAAATCACATTTCCTTTATATATTATCTCACTATTGCAAGATAACAAGAAATGCCCTTTGACTAGCTAAAGAGAGCTTATCTCATACCCTAAGCAGATCCTGTTAAGAAATGTGCTCTGTCCAGTGCTGAGGAGTCAAGGATGTGGAAATATCAGCCGATAAAGACTTCCTAAAAATAAGTTTAATTGCAGTGTGGATCAGAGTTTGCCAGGCTTTCCAGCTGCTGGGAGCAGGGTAGCAGCGTGGGCACAGCGCGGGATGACTTCACTGTGGTCGCGGACAGCCTGCTTCGTGACATGGAGGGTTTGCCAGCGTTTCTCCAGATCCCTTTGTGGAGGCCCTCCGCTTCCTCTCCATCTTTTGCCTGCCTTGGTTGTCATCTCATTCCCGCTGCTCCATAGCAGCTCCATCTGAGATCGCTCCTTCTGAGACCTGGTCTCACCTGGCTCCTCTTCCTTGTAGGGATACCACTTTGAGGAGGAGAACCCCCTGCGGGACCACCCTCAGCCTTTCGAGGAGGGGCTTCGGCGGCTCCAGGAGGGGGACCTGCCCAATGCCGTGCTGCTCTTTGAGGCGGCCGTGCAGCAGGACCCCAAGCACATGGAAGTGAGCGGCTCCTCCTTCTGACCTAATTAGAGAGAGCTCTGCCAGTCTTGAGGGAGGCCCTGAAGCGGGTAGTGCACAAGGGTTAGGGTCTGGGTCACGGCCTGGGGTGGGGGCCTGGGAATGAGATGGTGAGTCTGTGGGGAGCCAGAGGAAGGGACAGCGACTACACGGGTGATGAAATCTGGTACCTTCTGTCTAGGCTTGGCAGTATCTGGGAACCACCCAGGCAGAGAACGAGCAAGAACTTTTAGCCATCAGTGCGCTGCGGAAGTAAGTACTCTGAAAGGGGGGCGTGGGTGGGGGAGGGGTGGGGTGGTCTTGGAGCTCTGGAAACAGCGTTTAGAATGACAGGTCCTGGTCTTCTTTCTGGCCACTAATGAGTGTTTTCTCATGATGAAACTCTAAGGTTTGGAGTGAACTTGGGAATAACTGTCTCTATTCCCTCCCCAGCTTTTGGTTTTATTTGGGGGACCCTGGCTGGTTCCTCAGCTGCTGAAATGTCCCCTTTCTCAGATCTGTGACTTTATTAATAACCCACCAGTAGGGGATTCCTCTGCATCTGGATGGAGAGAGTTGGCAGGTAACTCTCGGCTTGGATTGCAGGGTTGCTGAGACCAGCCCTGTCCCTCTCGGTCCAAACAGGTGCCTGGAGCTAAAGCCAGACAACCGGACAGCCCTGATGGCACTAGCTGTGAGCTTCACCAATGAATCCCTGCAGCGGCAGGCCTGTGAGACCCTGCGAGACTGGCTACGCTATACGCCGGCCTATGCCCACCTGGTGGCACCCAGGGAGGAGGGGGCCGGTGGGGTGGGCCTGGGCACCAGCAGGCGCATCCTGGGGTCCCTATTGTCCGAGTGAGTGAGGGGCTTCTGGGGTGGCGGGTGGTGACCAGGGAGAGGGAGGACCCGGACAGTGGGAGTTGGGGTAGATTGCCGCTCATTTCTGGGGGGATGGGAGACTCAGGGTTGGAAGGAAGGAAGGGTGCAGGTGGACGGATGCTTTGTGGGTATGTGATGGGTTAGTGAAGAGAGTGCTGGGAATATAGATGTATCCATCCACCTGCATTTCTGCATCTTTGTCTTCCTCACCCAGCTCCCTGTTTCTTGAAGTGAAAGAGCTCTTCCTGGCGGCTGTGCGCCTGGACCCAACATCCATCGACCCTGATGTGCAGTGTGGCTTGGGGGTCCTTTTCAACCTGAGCGGGGAGTATGACAAGGCGGTGGACTGCTTCACCGCTGCGCTCAGCGTCCGCCCTGATGTGAGCATCTGGGGAGGAGGGGAGAGAGGCCCCGACTCTGTGCCCCAGGGAGGAGTCATTTGTTGGGACCTTCAGTGTCACGGGTGTCTCCTTCCACTTCTGCGTCCTGGCTTCCTTGGGAGAATTGGGAAGGGA